ACAGACACAAGTTCAAGATATGCAGACAGTACAAAACTTGCAAGTATTGGGAGTCGAGAGGAAGTTAGTGATAGATTTTGAGAGGCTGTATCAGGCTGATAGACGACACTTAGCAGTTGAAATTCAACACAGATATGTGGGAAATGGCAGAATTTAGTGGGAAGTACAAGGAGTAACAGGAACAATGCTGATAGGGGTGCAGGAGCTAATCAATAGAAGTGAGAGAGCACGTTGAGAAAGTGGTTAAAAAGCTATATACATGATTCTAGATTTTATAAATAGGTGCACAAAAGCAAAGAGGTTTTCTGAAACTCTAGTTCATTTTCAACTGAGATACTGTACCCATGTAGAGGCAAAACACTCTAGGAAGGATATAAAGCATGTAGCAAGGCATTGAAAGGATTTATGAAAACCGATGCAGGGTTGAAGAGGTTTGGTTGTGAGACAAGTTCGGAAAAGAAGGGTTGTTCCCTTTTAAGAAGAGATGGTTGAGATGAGACTTGATAGAGAGGTTCAAAATCACGAAGGGGCAGAAAATAGAAAGCGCTAGAGAAACTCAGCGGTTCTGGCAGCATACATGGAGAGAGAAACAGAGTTAACATCTTGAGTCCTCTATGACTCTTCTTCAGACACAGGAATTCCAGCACCTCGCATAATTATCATTGCTACCAGTTTGTCTAGAAATCAGATGGTTTGTTGTAATGTTTGCTACATAACTTACAACGTGTTTCACTGCTTTAAATAAACTAAGAGTGAATCATAGAGTGAATCATTCCCCAACAAGCAACTGATTACACCATCATCATTAACATGACAGTGTGAGGGAGTCAAATTCAAATCACAATTTTCAAAAGGGAATTGGATAATTGCCTGAGGACAACACATTTGCAGGGCTGTGAGAAAAAGGCATTGGAGTGGGACTGGACGAGTCATCACTCAAAGATGGCATGCGTACGATGGGCCAAATGGCCTACCTGTGTGTTGTACCCAGCCTAAGATTCTTGCAATGAGATTCAATGAGTAGAAAGATAAACATCAATGAGCTTCAAAAGCTGCCGAATCTTAGTGCTGGAACTCCGTTATGATACTCATGGGGCATGAGCAAAACTATCCCTCGGTTTCATATTGATGGCTATGTCCAATTTGCTGCTACCTAAACTGTTTCAGGAATTTATTGTTGCAGTCAAGTGAAAGAACAGCTGGAGAACACTCTTAAAACTGTGGTAATGTGACAAGACATTAAACGGACACCTGGTGGGAAAGGTTTGTTCAAAATAAAACATTGCATCATCAGTTTTCACAATTTTATGAAGACGTTGCAGATTCACAAGAACAATCTGTACCAAAGCTAAGGGTTTATTGGTGACTTGTAGCTAGCCAACTGGTCAATGATTAGATCAACATACATACCTAGCACTTCAGATGAGAACGTCCAGCAGTACACTTCTAGTGCAGTCTGCTTGACATCCATCATGTTTGCTGGACTTTAAAGTCAAAATGTATTTTTGTTGGTTAAACGGAATTGTTAAGTGCTTGGCTGCTAAGCAGCAATATATTCCACAAGTGAACAGCAACTAGTGTATGTGTATGGTATCCTTGCAAATACATAGTCCAGCTACATTTCAAGAGGTAGTATAAAACATTATATATTTGGGCTTCAGACAAATTTTCCAGCAAAAACATTGCGCTCAGGCTGTCCTGCATTACAAACTGCTAATGCTAGTCATATTGTCTTTTACAATAACTCACTGAAGGTGGGGCGATGAAGGTGCAGTGGGAATGTCACTGGACTAGCCATCCAGAGCTCCAGGCTAATGTTCTGAGGAAACGGTTCAAATCTCACCACATCAGGGGTTTAATTTCAGTTAATAAACTTAAGAGTTAAAATTTGGTTTCCGTATTGGTGACCATGAAGCTATAGGATTGCTGTAAAATGAGCTGATTTTCTGATTTTTTTTAGGGATGCAAATGTGCTGTTTATCTCTTGTGACACCATGTAGTTGACTTTTAACTACCCTCTGAAATGGACCCCAGCAAGTATCCTCTAGAGTAATTAGGGATGAGCAATAAATGTCAACAACTGTAGCATCCCATGAACGAATTTCAAAAAGTGAGAAATTGGCTCACATTGTTCTAATGCCTGCACTGTGATGTAAATTAAAACAGGAGTAATTTGCTAATGCAAGCTCTTTGACCAGGAATTTTAACTATGTTTCTCTATCCACAGCTGTTGTCTGAACTGCTGAAAATTTCAAGCATTTCCTGTCCCTTTTTCACTTTAAATTTTATCTTTCTTCCTTCTTATTTTTGATCAGGTATCTAATTGAATTTGCTTTCCGAAGCCACAGCTCTTTGCTGGGCAACCATTTCAAGTTGAGAAATTAAATCAGCTACATTTTCTATGCTTTGCACCTTTTTCAATTAAACAAAAGCATATCCTTGGTGCAATCTCCATGGCAATGCCCCTTATCTCTTGCAGTATAAATTACTGTCCCCTTTGAAAATTGGCATTCTTACAATTCTGTCCTGATCAGTGCAAGATGAAAAGCTTCAAAACAGTACATTTCATTTTACCATCCATATCTCAAAATGTTGAATTAATAGAGTGTGTTTATCCAGCAACGAGGCAATTGCATTAAATATAGGCATTCACAAGCCACCAGGGGGCAGATTAAAACAGAACAAGCCACTGATAATAAAATCGTGTTTATTCTAACTTTTGTTTTAATAGCTGGTTCCTGCCACTTCTGCAATAGGCTCAAACAGCCTTGAAGTCTGCTTCTCTTTTCCATCAGAGACCTATCAGTTCCTTTGTCCCTTTGAGCTCTTTTCCCCTTCATAGATGATATCTGACTTGCTCAACATTTCCAGCAATGAGTGTTTATAATCAGATTTACATTATTTGCGTGATCCCAAATATCTTACCCATGAAAATGTCTGAATAACCTTTTCTTTAGCGCCTTTAACAATAACAACTATTTATGTTGAGACGTAGTAGGAACTGCAGATGCTGGAGACTCTGAGATAACAAGGTATAGAGCTGGATGAACACAGCAGGCCAAGCAGCATCAGAGGAGCAGGAAAGCTGACATTTCGGGTCTAGACCCTTCTTCAGA